TTAAGATAATTAGTAAATGAGCAAATGGGCAGTTTAGGAGAATTTTTTCACAGGGATATTTCACCACATTAGGAATATGGAATGCCCTGATATGAGTGGATAGCCTTCAAGAGGGAACGAGACAAATACCTTAAAGTTGGAACTTGTATAGGGGTGTGGGGAAAGTGCAGGTACGTGGGGCTGAAAGGATTGCTCTTGAGGGAGCGGCACAGGCATGCTGGGCGAATGGCCTTCTTCTGTGCTGAAAATGTCTATAGTTCTATGGTTCCCTGTGCCTGGACCCTCATGTCCAAAGTTGCTGGCTCCCTCGTCCCTGCCTCTGAGCTCCTCTCTGGCAGTTGTACCACCTGCTACTGGGGGGTGTGGGGGGAAGGGATGGGAAGAAAGGCCCTTGGGAGGAGGATGTTAGCCAGCCATTGTTCCCCAAGGTTGCCCTCTCTCCTCATCCCTCATCTACCACTTATTCATTATCCTCCTACTCTTCCTCCTGCCTGACACCCTCCTCAACACTCCTGAGCTGACACCCTCCTCAACACAGGCCTGAGCTGTGTTCCCAGGTGATACATCTGGAAGGATGTATCATTGGTCTTTAGGGAAACAAGATACGAGTCTAGAATACTGATTTAATGACCGTTAGTAACACTGTGTCTGGGCAGCTGTAACCCGGGTACCCCAAACTCTTCATCTCCCTCAGTGGAGATATGGTCTCCTCCCCAATCACCAGCTCAGTATGTGTCAGCTTGGCTTAATGCCGCAGCCTCACCTCTGTGGACTTGGAACCTGTATAGTTTATCCATTGTTCAACACTCCAAGATGGAGTTGTTGTTGCTAACATCTGAGTACAGTGCTGGGGATGTTCTGCATTGTCAGTGGTGATACTTTTCTGATGAGACATAAATGAGGTGTCATCTGTCAGTCCAGGTGGACTTTGAAGATTAACTAATCGAGAAGGGCATTTCTTCCCCTAGTGTCCTGGCCAAAAATTCCCCACATAAAACTGATGATTCACCTCATGGCTGTTTGTGGGATGTTGTTGTGCGTAAATTGGTTATCAAGTTTGCCCACAAAATACACACAGTCACATCAGTTTACAGTATATCCTGTGAAGCGATTTTAAAACATCTCTGATGTGATAAAGCGTCATATCAAATACAAGGATTATTATTCTAATTAATAATCTGTACTAGCACGTGCCACAAATAGAAATGAGACGAAAGACCAAGGTTAATATTCCGCTAGTGAATGTGGATGAGGGAGGAATATCCAGACAGGAACCTGAGAGAACTACCTTCTCTTTATAACACTCGGCTCATGGGATCTTTCCCGTCTGCCCGCCCGCCACAGAGGAGCACGGTTACACTTTCAACAAGGCAGCACCCCCTCAGGACTGCACTGGGATTGAACAAAATCCAGTGCTCAGCTTGGTGAGAGTCACTGGGCCAAACAAGTGATCCCAGGAGTGCGCTTCACACCCTGGGGATAGAGCAGTCAGCTCTCTTCCTACAGTTAATAACAACCCTGACAACTACCATCTTCATGCATGTGGTTTTCCTTTCCGCTCGTTCCTGCCTGATTCTAATTCTTAACAATAACAACAAATTATATTTATATAACAACTTTCTCGTTGAGGGTATCCCAAGGCGTTAGACAGTGAAGGGTTTGCACCTGAGCTGGAGAATGGAATCAAGAGGGGTGGAGGGCAGGGGAAGGGGGTGGGAAGATAACCGAAGGCACGGTCAAAGATGAAGATCTTGAGACAAGCCTTAAAGGAGGACAAGGGAGGGGACAAGATGGAGAGATTCAGGGATGGAGTTCCAGAGGGTGGAGGCAGAGAGAGTGGAGGCCTGACCACCAATGGTGGGGCCGGCAGGGAGGGGACGTGGAGCAAGCCAGAGTCCGCTGAATAAAATAAAGTATTATTCATTCTTATTCTGTACGTTGTGTCTACTCATAGGAAAAGCCTTACGCAGTCACAGCCACTGGTATTTCCGCTCTGCCTTCCAGACCACAATCAGGAGGACACAGGACACAATATAGTTTAGAAATTCTACCTGGCTCTGGATTTATTTTATTTGCTTAGCCTTTCAGAGTCACCAGAATTTGGCAAGTCGTTGAATTTGGTCTTAACTTTGAAGTCAATTTTCTGTAGATTCTTAAAGGAAACTCCTCTTAAAGGAGATATGATAAGGCACTATACCAAATCCAAGAATTACTATTATTATTATTACGTGCCTGCCTATAGGAACGAACCCCTGAATGCAAACAGTCCCAAATCACACCATTTGAGAAATGGGTTGGGGTGGTTTGCTGTCTGAACAGAAGCCCCAGAATTCCACCTAGTCTTAGCCTGAAAGATCCTCTCTTTTTGAAACTTAAGGCAGCGCAGAATATTGAAGCAACGACCCTTCAATTCAGGCACAATTTGTCCAGAGAACATCTTCAGGCCCATTCCTAACTTAGAAGATTAATTTGTCCTAAAAGCCGTATCCAAATGAGCAGTAGGCTGACGATTTTCTGTTAAATGTTAAATGTTAAAGACAGGATGTCTCACAGGCTGAGAGCAGCCAGGTACACTGACTGCTGCAGTAACAAAGTGCCTCGCAGGGTTTCCCGGGAAGTGTAGTGACTGTGTATTTTGCGGTGAACACGCTCGGTTGTTCTGACGATCACCCCAGTGGGCGAGAAGAATGATTACAACACAACAGTTTTTTTTTATTATTAACAACAGTCACTTCACAAGCTGACACGCCCCGAGCGCTGTGTTTACATTGGCAACGGGAAACCTACCCAAAAAGAAATTGATTTCAGAACCTCACCTTCATGAAACATCCATCCAAGTCAGCTGCAAGCTCATTTTTGAGGGTTTTTTCTGGGTTGCACTTTAACCATTTCCTGGACTGTTTGGCAATTGTCCTTTACTCAGAATTGGCTCTGCTAACCCTGCTTGGGTTAAACAGGTTACATCCGTCCAGAGAATGAGAGATAGAGAGTGTGAGAGAGAGTGTGTGTGCGCATTCCATTCCAGACACAGAGATATCTCTGTGTGTAGGTGTCATACGAAAGAGAATTCTCAGTCTGGTTTGGAAACTCTTTAGCACAGTGATGAGTTTCTGCGTGTGTCAGACACCCGGCTGCCCCACAGCAAATCTCCTTCCAGTGAGACAATAAACCTAGGTCCTGACTGTGCCTAACGAGGTGGACGTTAGAGATTCCACCACACTATTGGAAAAGAGAAGGGAGTTTCTCTCAGTCGCCAATGTCCAGCTAAATCACTCAATCACACAGTCCCTACACTTGACAGCAATTCTCTGCGAGGCGCTCACTGTGAGATGTTTCAACATCATATCAAAAGCTGAGTATTATTACACATTACTATACATTACAGTCTTAATTTTTGTATACTTATTTGGATTGTATTATTATTGCTATGTATTCAGTGGCTCTATGTTGCCACCATTTGTTTTCACTTCAACAAAACCTGATATTATCCCAGTCCTGCAAACCTATCCGCAGATCACAAGCATGTTGCCATTTATGTGAAGATATTTTGCCTGTGCAAAGGAATGAGAGGAGTGTCCGGCTTTACTGGGAAAACGTTTAGTCCAGCTTTGGGTAAATTCATTCTAGCCGACTGCACTCACAGTTGGTTACAAACGTGAGTTAACGAGTGCCAGCAATAAAGAGTCACAGGCTGTGGGCAGCCCTGGTGGGGGGGGGGGGGGGGGGGTGCAACGGGGGCTCTCAGATCAGCGTGATCCAGCGCAAACCACAACTCCTCTCCCCCAGTCCTCCTCTACTCTCCAGCCCCGAGCCCCTCAGTTCCCTCCATTCCCAGAGTGTGCTAGAGTTGGCCTAATGCCGTGGTTACTGATGGTCCATTACATTAATAATAATTTTTGAGCTGTCTCAAATCGCTTCACAGGATATACTGTAGAGTGTAGTGACTGTATTTTGTGAGCGGCAGCCAATTGCGCACAGCAGTATCCTACAACCATCGTAAGTAGAGAGAGAGAGAGAGAGACAGCCAGCCACTGGTGTCTAATACAAGCTTGAGAAACACTAGCCTGGAGGGTGTGTTCTGCACTCAGAGATGTGTCAAACAGGCAATTTAACCCCTCAGAGCGCTAAACTTGTACTCTGCGGCCAATTCAGTCCCACTCAACACCATAAACCAACACTGACTATCCCGCAGGCCAAAGCCAGGGTGATCAAAAAATTGTGACAACTACCCTGTTATCTAAAAAAAATTCATTTCTTTAAGACTTATTAGACATTTTAATGGTGGTGTGAGTTTTTGGTCACCCGGTACAAAATAGCTTCTTAAAGATTCCAACTACGTTTAAAGGGATCATACACGACAGGACGCTTCAAGAACAGTCTCCGAAATGAAGGGTGGCTAGAGAGGTGCCGTGAACCAAATGTTCCCTCTTGCAACTCTTCCCAATTTCTTTCCCATTTGCTCCGATATCTCTCAATTACTTTCCACTAATGCACTTCCTTCCCCTCCTCACAGAAAAAGTGACGCACAGTCAGACAGCAAATCTCACTGACAACATCCACAGTCGCTGAGGTGGCCCCAGCACAGGGTCGTGTTGTTCAAATTCAGACATGAGCCCAGACGTGCAGAACCTGGACCCGTTCGCTCTCTTCCAACGAGCTTGTGACGGCAGCCTGGAGCCCCGGGGACGAGGAGAGGTGGGAATTCCATCCGAATCGCATTACGTTCTCCCTGTACACCAGTTCCCTTTACCATCTGAGGTGACTGAACCTGGTAACGGAGAGTGCGGACACTCTGCAGCCACTGAGCACTTACACAGAGGAAGTGCAGCAGGAAACATTCAGTCAGTTTTTAGCTACAGGTTTTACCAGTTTGTTAGTTTACAAGTTTCCTAACTCATCGTTATCACAATGATCCTTCAAGTTGCACAGTGTTTTATTACTTCACAATGATGACTGATTATATCCCAGACATGGAAGCTGACAGGTGCATTCAAACTTACCTGAATGGCACTGCTCGCTCACACTTGCTTCTTTTTAAAGAGATACTCCGGGTGTCCCCTGAACGTGTTCCTGCCTGTCCTGCACTGGGGAAACTCCACGCTGCTCCTTCTTGCAATGATTCCTGTTTGGCTACAGTAGATGAAGGCAGTGGCTGAATTTATAATCAAGCATTGTTTACCTGTACAAACACAATGGGGCTTACATCAGTGCATCACAGCCACCGGTTAACCCTTTAACACATGTTACAGCAGCACCCTCACTCCACTGCACTCGCTACCCGGAGCTCAGGTGCAAATGGGACATTGGAGGATTATAACTATAATAATCCTTGCATCTGATGTAGCTCCTTATCACATATAATAATAATAATAATAATCCTTGCATTTGATATAGCGCTTTTCACGTCGGGAGGACGTCCCAAAGCGCTTCACAGAACACACTGTAAAGTGAATTGACTGTATATTTGTGGGCGAACGCGGCAGCCAATTGCGCACAGCAATGTCCCACAAACAGTCGTAGATTGAAAATGACCAATTTAATTATTGTTTTTAGTTTTGGAGGGATTATTATTAGGCGTGTGGAGTAAGGAAACTTGCCCAAGGTTTCGCCCTGCCTGGAATTGAACTCAGGTCTCTCACTTGCAAAGCGAGTGCTCTAACCACTGAGCTACAGGACTCCTCATTGAGACGTCTCAAAGTGCTTCATACGATATACTGTAAAGTGTAGTGACTGTGTATTTTGTGAGCGAACCGTGGCAGCCCGTTGGGTACAAACAGCCCTGAAGTGAGTGACCAATTTTATTTGGGGGATTTTTGACCAGGACACCAGGAAAAACTCCCTTCTCTCTTTGAATAGCGCCATGGGATCTTTAACATCCACCTGAACAGGCAGACGGGACCTCGTTTTACATCCGAAGGACAGAATGTAATAATTAACATTATTAAGCGAGGGCCACTAGGCTCGCATAGGCATGCCTTGATGGTATAAAACAACACTAAGTCTCAGCCTGTGAGACAATGTGTCTTCAATCTAAGAATGGCGCTGAATTAAGGGAAATTCCTCAATTCAATCTTGTTTTGGAAGCCCTTTGTTTGAATTAACAATTTTCCAAAATTCTGAGCGCACTTAAATTTAAAGACAAAACGTCTCAGACCCACAGCAGTTTGGGTCAACAACAATAACTTGTATTTGTGCAACGCCTTTCACATTAGAGCTTGGGACTGGCAATGTGCTCAGCCTGACGTGTGCTGGGCTATGGCTGATCCATGGCTGGTGCTGGGTGATGGGTGCCTTCAGCTCCCCTCTCGACTCTCTTCCCCCTTCTCGCTCCCTCCCTCCCCTCACCCTGACCATTTCCCCCCAATGCTCGGGTCATGACCCAACTGTGCAGCGCCTTGGGACGTCCTCCTGACGTGAAAGGCGCTTTATAAATGGAATCTTGTTGTTGTTGTTGTTGTTGCTTCTTAGCGTCTTGTGTCCAGTTTACACTGTGCTTTGGACCCGCACTGACTGGCATTGACCTGCACTGACCACTGGTACCTGACTGACACTGACCACTGGTACTAACCCACACTGACCCACTCTGACCTGCATTGACCACTGGCACTGACTGGCACTGACCCATACTGACCTGCCCTGACCCACACTGACCACTGGCACTCACTCGCCCTGACCCGCACTGACCTTCACTCACCGAAACTCACCTGCACTGACCTCTGCTAACATTATCAATGCTACAGCGGTTTAACACAGGGACAGGCAAGCTTTGGGCTGAGCTCAGCTGAGGCCGAGCGACTACCAAAAAGCTTACCATTGATATCGCTGTCCGGAACGCTTTCCTACAGTTAAATGTCACATTACTTTCTCCTGTCAAAATATCCTTATTTTTCATTTACTGTCAAGTGTCGTGACTGCACTGCACATTACTTAGACAAACGCAGCAGCCAATTTGCTTATCCAGCTCGGACCTCCCTACCCGTTAGAGCTTTGGCTTGCAAGATTTTGCATTTATATGGTGCTCTATAGTGCTATCCTATTTGTATGGGATAGTGTCTCACATGCTCACTTGTGTATTGTACCATTCATTCACCAGCCTCAGGTCTCCACCATTCTATCCAGCTGGGGTGGTCACTGCTCTCTGTTGGCCTGAAATTCCACCTAGTCTCAGCCTGTGAGACCAGTTTTCCTTAAAGTTTAAGATGGGGCAGAATAGTGGGACTTTCGTCAAATCAATCTTATTTGGAAGCCGGCTTCTGTTTCAGAACTACAGAAAACTGGCTTTCAAATTACCAGTGGAATGAAGAAGTCTCCACAATACAGCAGCATCTTAAACTTTGAAACAAAATGGTCTCCCAAGCTGAGACTAGGTGGAATTTCAGGTTGCTGTGGCGCATATCACTCATTTCCTGGAATCCTGATCAACAATTTCTCAGATAAAATTGTTAATTCTCTTGATTGCTGTTTGTAGGATGTTTCTGTGTGCAAATTGGTTGCTGCATTTGTCTACATAATACAGTGCAGTCACTACACTTGACAGTAAATTAAAATGGACAATATTTTTTCCCCCTGAAACTTTCAGAGCTGCACAGTGACATTGCTGGAGTGAGTGGCGAGATGGATGTTCTGTGAATACAGCTCCAGAGCTGACAGGAGGAAAAAAGGTGACATTTGAACTGTGCTGATGTAGTTACCCCCAGAGGCAGGTTTGTAATTACACCACCTGGGAACATTGGTAATGAAAACACCTCCTGACAGCCCATTAAATAATCAGCTAACCACTGGATAAAATAACTCTGCTTTTGGAGGAAATTGGGAGGATTTAAAAAGCAGTTAGCTTGCCAAGTGTGAAGGGAGGGTATAAGAGGGGATGGGCAAGGATCAGGGAATTGGCATTAGGATGGGTGGCTTCACTGAAGCTGACACAAATAAAATGGGTCAAAAGGACTCCTACTGTATCTTAAATTCCTCCGGTTGTATGGAAGCATCCAGGTTAGCGTTAAATGATTCAAGTTGTCAGCCTGGCTCAGTGTGTGTCAGCCCAGCTCTATGTGCCAGCCTGGCTGCCACTGCAGTGCCGCGCTGGGGGAGCGCTGTCAGATCAGAGGTGCCATCCTTCTCCCAGTGTTCTGACCAACAAACCCCCAGATTGCTTATTCTCTTCATTGACTGTTTGTAACTCATCGTTGTGTGCAAATTAGCTGCCACATTCACCTATACAGGTGATTTACTACAATAAATCTTGTGTTGTGTTTTGAGATGCCTCAACGATGTGTTACGGAGCTATACCAAGTGCAAAGATTATTAGTTATGTATTATTATAAAGATATCTTTCTGATAATATTACAGAATTGTTTCTCAAAGTAAGACCTTGTGTAGTTGAACTCTTCAGTCAAAGAAGTCAAAGAACATCACAGACATGATGGGCCGAATGGCCTTCTTCTGCACTATAAATTCCCAGGGGAAGAAGACGGAGGAATAAGAGCATAGACAAAGAGAGGTTTGGGAGATGAGGACCACCCCATCACCAGGTTGGTTAGGGCGAGGGCTGGGTGGGGGGGAATCCAGGTGAGGAGGCTGTGATGAGGAAGGGGGTGATCCCCAGGAAAAGCTGTAAATGTCTGGGGTTCTATGGGGGTATTTTCCAAATTAACATTCAGACACAGAAGTCAACTTAAACTTTCTGGAGACAGGAATCATAACATACATAAGAATATAAGAAATGCTAGACAAAAAAAAGACCAAGGTCCATCTAGTCCAGCTTCCACCTTCCTGGTGTTCGCATGCACATATGTCCTGAACTCCCTATGTACTTTATCCCATAATGTTATTTCCTAAAAGAAAACTATCTAATCTGTGTTTGAAAGAATCAACACTTCCTGCTTCAACCGTCTCCCTAGAGAGCCTATTCCACAGGTTTAATATTCACTCACTGAAATAGTGTTTGCATAGATTTGTTCTGAATTTATTGCTTTCAATCACAGGTCCTCTGGCTTTACTATTCTGAACAAGTTGAAACAGGCTGTCATGGTTGACATTATCTATCCCCAGGCAACAGGTGTAGTTTGCCACCATCTCCTCTTCTCACAGGGAGGGTTAGGAGTTTGATTAATGAACATTGGAAGTCTGCACAAACTCACCATTTTCAGAGAGAAACACTTCTGTCAATCCAGGTTTAAGTCAGCGTCAACAACAGCACAAAGCAGTGTAGTTAGAGGGAAGGGGGTGAGGTGGTGGCAATTAATGGGTCTCTGTGCCTTGCCTGCATGTGTCCATGTGTATATGAATCTTTTGCTCACTCTGGCTTCAAAATTCTCGATCCCAAGCCTTCCCATTGTTTCTTTTTTGTTGAATTGATGTCCCTACAATGGCGGAATATTCCTGTCTTCCCTATCTCTAGTTTTATTGTCCACACCACAGCTTCTTGTCCTCCACCCTATATTGTCACTGTGTAATAGCTATGACCCATCTGCTGCTGTGTGTTGACTCATGTTCCCCCCCCACCCCTGACCACAAGATCTTGTCACCACAGCTGGGTGACTGCTCTGGAACTTGCCAAGGGGATAAGCGGCAAGTGCAGAAATCTCACTGGTTAACAGGTTTGCACAGAGACCTATCACACTATGAGCAAGCCTCCAGTGATTAGCTGGAGGAGAGGTTTAGCAAACAACTTTCATGACAGGAATGGCATTCAGGATGCCTCAACCCTGATTTAGCACCTCTCATGGAGGAGAATGTCTCAGAGCGCTTTGCTGGAAGGCTGCGGGGATCCTGGAGGGGGGGTGCTGCATTATCGGAGGTCCTTCAGATGAGACGTTGAACCAAGGCCCCATCTGCCTGTTCAGGTGGATGTTAAAGATCCCACGGCACTATTTGCAAAGAGAAGGCCTGGCCAACAATCCTCCAGATAAGCTCACTTCATGGATGTTTGTGAGACGTTTCTGTGAGCTAAATAGTTGCTGCATTTGTCTACAAAACATACACTTTACAGTAAATGCTGTGAGACTTCCTCCTGATGTGAAAGACACTGCACTAAATAAAAAGCTTATTATTATTATACTGGGAGGGCAACAACAGGAAAGGCTCTCATTCCTGTCTATTCATAGAAACGGGGTGAGGGGGATGTACAGTCACTACTGGGAACAATA